ATATATATATATATATATATATATGAATCAGGCAGATTTGTGAATTGAGATTTTGTTGATTCAAATGGCACGAAATAGAACAAATTAATAGTAGCACTTGACTCCTAATTTGAGGAACACAACGCACAAACAAATGAAAATCCGTATTAGGTTATATGATGTTTGTTTGATGTGTAATTTGGCTACTTGTTACTTTGCACTTTGAACATCAATACAAAATCAAGCACAACATAAAAATGCATTCACAGATTATGTAAACACAAGCACAACACAATTTTAATTTTGATTACTTGGTGATAATGAACTAGTTATGTTGAATAGCAGGGCTGTATCAAAAAAGTAATATCATAAACAGTTATGATATTTGTACATAACAGTAATATGATAAACAGCAACCTAACCGACTAACATAAGTTTAACAACTATACTATACAATTCCCAAAATTCATGATTGACCCTGCTCACTTAAAGTGCGAAACTTTTATGCATATTCAACAACATAGACCCTGCACACTTATATTATGATTTAACTTGATTCTTCATATTTTTCTTTCAATCAAGACATGAAAATTTTGACCATTAAGTATTTGAGTGCTCTTTTATAAGTCTTTGTGATCAGAATATTTACAACAAGTAAACAACCAAAAGTGCCTCACTAATGTCATGCAATCATCCTCTTTAACAAGTAGAGGTGTTAGGATACAAAAAAAAAGTACGAGACTTTCAGCTAGCAGATAGAAACCTTAATGTGACTAATTCCTTATAGCAAGGATGTCTTTGATGAAAGCAACACAAAGGCAACAACAAAGAGAACGTTCACCTTTTTATGGTCCCCAGAGGTGTTCCTTTCAATATTACTTTAGTTTCAGCTTCAATATTTTTGGCCACGGTTAGAGTCTGCTTAAGGATTATTGCATCATGTGTGGCAAGGTCATGAATCCAAAGCAAAACTGCAGTCTAATAAACAGAGAAACACATGGCTTGGTCTGTCTTAAAAAAAATGATTAACATGATATTGATCAATGGGTATATAATTGATGAAGTACAATCAAACCCTTGGTTGAATTATCAATAAAAAGCTTGAATTAAAAATTCTAATTCTATTTGATCAATGCCCAAAATTAATTATTCAAAGGCCCAATTGTAATTTGAAATCTAGAATTCCCAAGCATAGTTAGACAAGTAAAAGAAACATATCATCAATATTGATTGCAAATGCAAACATCCTTTGAATTAAATTAAGGTTAACAGTTCAATATTTTGTCTCCTTGAGTTAGGATTCCAATACGTGAGTTTTGTGAAATAGAATTTACCGCAACAAGTAGGGAAATTATCAAAACTAAAGTGAATAGTAATGGCAGAACATATCCTTCCACCAGAACAAGGGTATTAAACAGTTGATAACAATATATTATGTATGTTAATTAAGAAACATGTATAATACTTTAATAGTAAGTTGAGAAAGAAGCCAAGTTTGTTTGACATCTAAGCCTAAAGCAAACTGTTACATGTATAGTAATTTATATAGAAAAAATTATCAATTGAAGTTGTATGTAGAAATGAAAATGGATAGTGATTTATATACAAATTCTGGTTTCTTCTAACTCTAATAGTGATCAATCTAAATATTAATTTCTCATGATCCTAAATATTGTAAAACTTTGCTTACTTGCATAGAATGATAATTAATATTGTTACAATCACTGAGTAGTTGGTTACACCTGCATAAATACTTATACTAACAGTAACTAACATTCTGACTTAGTTACAGCCATACAAACCTGCCACATATTGAAATAAAGCTAGTACAACAGTGGAATTGTAGCTGGAATAGGTTGAGGGACAGGAATAGAAGTAGCAGAATACGGTGAGAGGAGTTCTTTGTAGGGAAATTGAATTGCATTGAACCATTGAAAATGAACAATTTACCAGCATGAGCCATGAGATAAGCATTTGTAGCCCTTGTCAGAGGGGAAAAAGAATTTTTGTTAAAAACGTGATGTATAATTTGAATTTGGAAAATTATTATTCCTAGAAAATATATTAATTTCACAAAATCAAGAGAACCAGCAAAGTGGTTTTGTCTTGTCTTTGAGCAAGTTAGCATAGTTGTTGGCGGTTAAGATGGATGTAGTAACCTGTCTCAAGCATTTAGTGGGATTCGGTTGAGGTGTTGAACCAATGGATTTTTCCAAATAGAAAAACTTGATTCTGATTGAAGTTGATCACAAATCTTTTTCCTATGAAGTGTATGAAAGTTCATCCTTTTTATAATCTTTATATTATATAACATGTTTAGGCACAATTGCAATAATCAATCTATGGTGGGGTATCCTCTTGTGCAGAAAATATATTGTCCTAGCAAATGTTTTTTAACAATATAGTTCTAGTATATATAATATATAGTTTAAATGGCATGTATAATGATATAAGATTTTATTGCAATAAAGTTCTAGTATATGTATAATAAAGCCTAACTTGATATAATCACTTTAGGCAGATTTTATTGCAGTCACTCTTTTGATGTGACATAGCCATCTTAGAATTAAAAAATATATGCACTTATCAAACTACATATTGTACCACTAGACTTGATAGACTTTGGGTGCTTTCCTTTTTTCTACCCACATGCTTTCACCTTTCAAGGCTTTGGTCTAATTAAGAAGATAAAATTCATTTTCGCACTATATTTTTCAGTATAAAATCACTTATATATATTTTTCATGTACTCATGCTATTACAAAGCAATTCAAAGCTTGATGGAAGTTTTAACATGAAAATAATTCCATGTAGAATCATTATTCATGACAAAATAAAGCAAACAACATTAAAAGGATGATTCACTGCCCCCACACGAAAACAACATTAGAGCTTGAGGGACAAGTACAGCTTCTGCAACTTCTCTTGCTTAGACTTCAAATGACTAATGCTACCAAAGCAATAACCTCCAAAATCCTCTGTCACCAACCTTGTTGAAAACTTGCCTAACTTTGGAATACTATTAGCCAAGGATGATTCAGTTTCTGCCCCCACACGAAAATTCCCTATTGTCGGTTGTGAATCCAAAGGCTGCCTCTGACATCCATTGGAACGGCACAACCCAAAAGAGGGTGTTTGAAAAGAAGGTTTGTTAATCTCCTAATAGGAAATAAACTTGTCCACACTTTTCAATTTATTTTAGAAGATATCTGCAGGATTCTTTTGAAGTATTAAACTTATATCACTTTAATCCTTTTCGAGTTATTTATTAAATTCTTAGCAGAACATGGATTTAGACTTAACTTAATTCTATAAAACCATGAATATGAGTGACAACTAATAGACCAATTAACTTAATCCTATAAAACCGTGAATGTGAGTCTCAACTAATAGACCAACTATTTAAATAGAAAACTACAAATACAAATCCTGTGTAGCAACTAATCTTCTATTTAAACAAAGTGGAAAAGAAAAACTGTAAAAGAAAGTCATTATCCTCTATTTTCATGCATTATATATGAGGGATTATTTTCTAAAGAAAATACGAACAAGTTATCATAACATGTGACAGTTGGCTATTTTGTATTTATGTCTTTTATGTATTTTTCATTATCGTGAATCAGTTATTCCCAAAATTTAAGTTGTTCAAGGATTAAAGTCCTAACCACTAAATTATTAAAGCTCCATAAACTAATTATTTCAAAAGCTTAAACTAAATACAGAAAGGAAAATCTTTCAGACAAATTAATATAATTGAGGAGAATTTGATTAGAGCTCATTAACTATGGGTTTTCATATTAAGAGAGATTAAGAATTCTCACTATTTAATTTATTTTTAAATACATTAATCCAATTCAATCACGCAAAATCTTTCATTCAAACTTTTTTCATCAAAAAGGTTCTATAGAGCTCCCCAATTTGAAGTATTTTACTTTCACGCAAGTAACAGGGTATAATGAGCAATTAATATTTCACAGTTAATTAAGGATGCAGTTTTATATTCATATCATGCATAAACATCATCAATCTATAAGCTGTCTTATTTTTCTAAACGGTAGTAATAGACAACCAAAAACAATTAATGGCCTTCTTTCAAGATGTAATCATTCGAGGTCTTCTGTTTCTGTAATCATTCTTCAGAGTTCAGATGAACCCTCTACACATACAAACAAGCAACCAAAGATTTGAATTGTCGCCTTAAAGCCATGCAAGAGGAATATGCTGCCCTCATTGCAAATTACACTAGGACATTGGTGTCACCACTTCCCAATGTCGATGTAGCACTAGGCCCTACATCGATGTTTCAAACTACTGATGTGGATAGTGTGTTCATGATTCAGGCTCAATTTACGAAATAACAATTTAATATATATATCTATATATATAAGAAAATATATTGAAGGGTCAGAATATGGTGTTCTTTAAAGATAAATGCAGATGATCAGTGTTCTTTAAAGATAAATGCAGATGATCAACCATGCTTTTAAATTGTAGTTTGCAACTTTTTTAACTTTAAAGTATCCACAATGACATTGCACATTTTCTCATAATTTTCTGTCATTTCAACAATTGTTAACTACTGCAACTACAACATTAATTTAAAACCATGCTTTGAATTGAACTAACCATAGACAAGAAGTGCATGTGAAAATGCTTAAAGCAAGTTTGGTTGCTCAGGGATTTTCATAAAAATATGAAACTTACATCAAATTTTCTGACCTGTCGTTTGACCAACCACTATTAAAAATGTTCACAACCAGATTTCACTAACGGGTGTTTTTATTATTATTAGGTTCCTTCGAAAGATTGTCATAATGCAAACAGCCAGAGATTCATAATTAATAACGGTAGGATTGGGATCTCTTTGCCATCATGAGAAGTTGCAAAGTTGCAACCTTTACTGCCACCACAAACATAAACATATTAGAAACCCTACTCACCATCCCCATCACTCCTATTTGATTTAAGAAAAATATTTAAAAATAATTAATATAAGAAATTGTATCACGAAACAGAGGAAACTATTTGAATATTCCACACAAAATGAAAATCCAAACAATGCTATTCTACGGATAAAATTGGATTTCAGAAGACTATATCAAACAAAAAGCTGCAATTGTGACCACTATTGTGCCCACACACTACAACAAAATTTGTTATTAACAACAATTATTTAATCGTAATAATTTAATTGTCGTCATATATAAAAATATTAATGGCTAATATATAATAGTCACTAAAAATATATTTATATTACACTAAAGTTTACTATTAGCGACAATTATTTATTAGAAAAAATTTAAGTCTCACATCGATTAGAAATAAGATAATTAAATAGTATATAAGTGAGTAATAATTATATCACCTTACAGGTTCATTTTATAGGGTTAACTCCTAATTCACTATTCTAAATTGGTATCAAATCACCCATTATTACCAAATTCAATAGTATTATAAAACAATTAGAGAACAATTTTCACCTTATAAATCTCACATTTCTTAAGAGATACGAAAATTAAAAAATATATAAATAAAAGACAACCCTCATCTTACAAATTCTACATCGAGTAGATATAACAAAAGTATATAAGTTATGAATTTAGAAAAGGAAATTATTGGAATAAATTATTTAAAGTAAAGTAGACAATTGAAAAAAAATAAATTTTAATAGCCTTTAAAATGGTTACTAGAATTGCCACTAAAAAAAATAAGTTTTTCTAACAATTTAGTAGATCTTTACCAACATTTTATATAAATGTCGGTAATAGTATTAACGACACTGGATACACCAGCCTTTATTTAAATACTGGTAAAAAATATAATGGCCATTTATATAGTCACTAAATAATAAATTAATTTTCACAAAAAATTAATTTTGGTGTAGTGACACTTCTCAATTTTTGAAACCAAACAGAGTTGCATCATCAATCAAATAGATACCTTCGACAACGGACTCGCACGATAGGACCACCGCGTTTCGAGAAAGCTCTTCTGGGAGTGTCTCCAAACCCTACACTATCAGCACCTAGTTGTACATTAGTAGAAGAGGAAAAAAGAAGCAAAAAACAAAACTAAGATACGCAGCTAAAATGGCTTCACTACGTTGTCATTCGTCAAAGAGGGCTTCAATGCTTCCCTGGACAGTCGTTCGTTGAAGATCAACGAGCCTAGACCGTCATTAGTAGAAGATTAATGAGAGCTCTTTAGGCCCGAGAGTTTTAAGAGGGTTTGCATACGAGAGTGTGCGTCCGAGAGTGTGTTGAGAGAGGGTAAGCTTCTTCTGTGTGTTCGGGCGGGGAAGGGGAAAAATTTGTTCATCCCTTCTATATTGGTCAATAGGAAACCTGATGTAGAATCATTCACTGATTTTATTTCTACACCGGTCACTACTATAACCGATGTAGAATTGTTCATATTTACATCGGTCACTACTATAACCAATGTAGAACCGATGTAAATATTCTTATATTTTCTACTTATCTACAAAATTTCCACCGCGTATTTTTTTACATCATTTTTTAGGGAACCGATGTAAATATAGCGACGTTGAATAGTATTTTTCTAGTAGTGTAAAGATTGCCGGGATCAATTGGAGTGCGCACTTGTTAATCAATACCATAATATAATATTGCACTAGGTTGGCGTTTCGTGCTTGTGTGTAAAGATATTACCAAGGTACTAATGGAATCACACTAAGGCCAAGAAGACCAAGAGGTGATATATTGAAGGAGGCAAGAAGAATGAGTTAGTTTCGAAAACCATAAGAGGAGTGGGACTACTTTTGGGCCTTAGTTCCTAAGTTTTTATTAGTATAAGATTTATTCCTATTTTTTCCCTTGTCTTTAATTTCCTATTTTACCCTTGTATTTTGGGTACCTTAGACATAGGATTTATTTTTCTCATATTTCTTATTTTACCCTTGTATTTTGGGGTGTCATAGTCATAGGATTTATTTTTATTTGTATTTCTCATTTTACCCTTGTATTATGGGGTGTCTTAGATTATAGGATTTTATTTTATAGTTAGGGTATTTTATTAAGGTTGGAAACTAGGCCTAGACATGTTTTTTGGTAGCATTGGATTTATTTTTGGAATTGACAAGGCTTAGGTCCAAGTGGAGGGCACCTAGGTTGCATGGTAATTGAAGATTTAATAAAGCTTGCTACGAGGTATTTCTCATCAATCTCTTACTCTATCTTTCACTTCTTTTATTTTAAATATTGTTATAATGAAAGCAAATATGTAGACATTTTAGGGTCAATTGCTTAATTTAAATTTAGCCATGTAAATAACCATTCATAAAGGGGATTAAGTATTTATATTATTATTTTTACTATGCTAACTTCATCATATGGGTACCGATAAAGGGCATTGTAGGGGTGCTTAATACCTTCCCTATACGTAACCGACTCCCGAACCCGATTATGGTTATAAAGGCCATTACTGGATGTTTAAAAACCTTTTCTTTTTCCAATGTTTTGAGTAAAACATTGGTGGCGACTCCATGAAC